AATTGGTATCTAAGCACTCAGTCGCCCCCCTCCGCCCCCGTCCTTCATTGTCTCCATCCCTGCTTTTGTAAACCAATGGGACCAATTGGTATCTAAGCACTCAGCCGCCCTCCCTCCTTTTGTCCTTTATTGTCTTCGTCCCTGCTTTGCAAACCAATGGGAGCAATTGGTATCTAAGCACTTAGGAGATAGAGGGACTAAATTACAATTTTACCATTTTATTTAGACTTTTTGCCTTCTTTCAAGGATATTTGTAAGTTTTAACATTTTATTTTATACTATAATACCTTTAATCCTTTATTTATATGAATTGAAAAAAATAACATTTATTTAGTTTTAGATTATAATATTTTGTTAGTTCTGTTAATTGACTATTAACTCTATTAGTTGATTGTTAGCATTCCGTTATAGAAAACATGAAATTTAAATTCAATTTTATTTATTAGTTCCATTAACGGAATATTAACAGTCATCTAACAGAACTAACAGTCAGCTTATAAAATTAATAGTCAGTTAATAGAATTAACAAAATGTTATAACATGACGTTAAATAATTAAATAAATGCTATTTTCTTTAATCCGCGTAGGTAAGGGACTAAAAGTATCACAGTATAAGGTAAATGGATAAAAATACTATAATATAAGGTGAGATGTTAGAACCTATAAATTTATTAAAGTAAAGAGTTAAAAGCAGGTTTTTGCCATAAAGGAGGAATGGTTTTCCATTTTATCATTATGTAATTTCAATACAAATGTTGAAATAAATTGTTGATTTATCCTAAATCTAGGGTTTGTTGGTGTTGAATACACTTGTCATTGTATGATTTTTGATGCTTTGTAATTGTTTGTTATGAATTTTGTGGTTTGCTAATTGAAATTGTGATTAAAGCTAGTGGAGGACCAACTCAACCTTGAGTTTCCTCCGTATCAACTAGAAATTGAATCTGGGTAACTTTGGCAATTTTTTTGATTTTATTTTGCATTTTTTCTAATTTCTTGTGAGTTTCCATGAACATTTAACAAATGCTTCAAAGAAGATGATTGTTGGCGACATTGGGCCAGCATCTGATGCTTTTTCTAGTTAGGTGAAATGTCACGGAAATTCTTTGCACATGTGACATTCTTCATATATATGAAATTGAAAGCTTACCTAACAAACCCTTAACAAGTACTTCAAAGAAGATGATTGTTGGCGACATTGGGCCAGCATCTGA